CGAGGGATTTAAGTTCACCCAAGACTAAGACAGCTTTATCACCGAGGAAAATACTATACTTTTCGTACCATTTGCGAAAAAATTAACACAATAATAATATGAGATAAGCATTTATTAAAAATAATGACAATTAAAAGTAAAAGTTAACATTCGAAACATTGGTCCAATTAAATACGGCCTCGTCGGTTTTTAAAAAGATGTATAATGCTTTATATACAAACTCAATGGTGTAAACACAGATGTAGTTCAGTACAAATTTCGGTAAGTATTCCAAATTTAAATCACACAGCCCTAGAGGATGAATGAAATTCAGTACAATTTTCTTTTCCTGTTTTTAACAGATTAAAAATGACTATTGTTATATTCGCTTTTTGTGGCATAGGATGTCACTTTTTTGAGCAAGTGATACGAAAACTTATTCAATTAATAAGATTAAGTGAGAAAAACCATCAACTTTTTTTAATAAAATGTATTTACTGAGATTGAGAAAAAACATAATCTAGCTCTTCAATTCCGCTCATCTCTCTCTCTCATTACAGCCGTAGTACTTATAAATAATAATGCACTATTACTAGGTCAAATAAGAACATGCATCCTTTATGTAAACGAAAGTTTTAAATCGAATTTATAAACGCAACGTCGATGTCTCGCTCGTGCGACTCGGACACGCTCGCGGCCGTATTTACCCAAACAAGAGAGGCGCAATTTTGTAAAAGGGCTCTTGACGATTTAGGTTATCAATCATTCATAGCCAAAACTCAATAAATGAAAAAAAAAATATCAACCAATATTAATTATCAATATTTGTTATTGTATGTTTACAAATGTTTGGTTTTTATTCTGGAACTAGCAAACCCGGCGAACTCCGTTTCGCCACCAGATGGCTTCGTTTTATGTAACATTTCGTTTGGTGATTAAAAGAAGATTTTTTTTTTAATTTTTCCTAAATTTTCTTTGCTATAAACCTCACGGAGCCCGACACCTTTCCAACGAATGCAAAACCGTGGAAATCGGTTCGTGCGTTCTGGAGTTATAGCGTCAGGAAGGAAAACCCGACTTATTTTTATATAGTAGATTAGCTTAGTGCTAAAAAAGGGTTCCAAGATTTTTTTACAAACAGTACATTTCAAGCGACATTTGACAGATGGAGGTCATTGGCTTACGATGTCACGAGCGCCTGTCATTTTTTGGTTGATTGATAAAAGAAAAAATAAATTTCCATTAGTTTTTGATAATCCAACTGACTGACTGACTAAATATAGTTTCCTTTGCATTATCCATACCAAAATAAAACAAAAAAAACAAAACACTCCCCTAGTCTTAGTCTTAGTAGAACGGCGAGCTGTTTCCGCAACTTGACACCCAGTGCCTAGTTTGCGTGGGTATTGGCATCAGTTCTGCCATCCCAGCTCCTCCAGAAAGCTCAGTAGTTCCCGGATGTTGCTGCAGGCTTCTACTTGTGTCCGCGGGCTTCCCATTAGAGAAATCCTTTGTCTTGCAACGCCTCTGCACTCCAGCAGAACATGGTAGATATTCATGAGTGCTTGTAACAGCCTAAACTGAATAAATGACTTTTACTTTATTATGATTATTATAGTGGCAAAACGACAAACATTTCATCATCATCATCATCAGCCTATTAATGTCCCCACTGCTGGGGCACAGGCCTTCCCTATGGATGGAATAGGGAGATTGGGCCATGACCCACCACGCGGGCCCAGTGCGGATTGGTGGGTGCTAACGACTGCAGATGCAGCCGGGACCAACGGCTTAACGTGCCTTCCGAAGCACGGAGGAGCTCGAGATAGTAAATTTTTGGTCACCCATCCAATGACCGACCACTGCGAAAGTTGCTTAACTTCAACGACCGTAGCCGAACGCGCTAACCACTTGCGCCATCGAGCTCCTCGACAAACATTTGCTCTGATCAAAATGTTTGCTCGGCAACTAAGTGCCTGTCCACATCTCCACGTCACGACGTGCGTCGTCAACGTGCAACCACTCCAGGTGCGATAAAGCGACACGGATCCTTGACATGACGTGCTATGTTATGTCAACGTACTGTGAACCGCGCACCTTTCCACGTTGACAACGTCGTGACGTGGAGATGGGGACAGGCACTAAGTGGTAACATGGCCGCGTTGTTGTACAGAATTGATGTGCTAACATCTCAGCTAACTCTAAAAGAAATTCATGCTAGCATCGGAGTCATTTAACTGTAGAGATTCCGTAATCATACCCCGTTTCTGGTAATAACTGGTTCTGGTTAAAAAGTAACTAGTCTATACTTATAATAAATCTGTAGAGATGTCAATTCTGTACATGAAATATATTTTTAAAATAACTATCAGGGGGTGATTAGTGATCGATACTGATGCCAAAAATGCAAACAGTAAATTTTTTGTCTGTCTGTCTGTCTGTCTGTCTGTCTGTGTGTATGTTCCTTATAGAAACAAAAACTACTCGACGGATTTTAACGAAACTTGGTACAATTATTCTTCATACTCCTGGGCAGGTTATTATAGTATACTTTTCATCACGGAACAATCAATAGGAGCAGAGTAGTGAAGGGAAATGTTGGGAAAACGGGAGAAGTTACTCCATTTTTTAAGCTTCCTTCGCGTGTGCAGCTTTAATGATTAAATTTACATAGAAATCATGTATGACGGAAATATTCTACATAAAATTGTCTAAAAAATATCCCGCAACAGCATATGTCTATCTTTTATGGTTGACACACAATAACACGTGTAACTCCCGATAGCTTAGCAGTTCGGAGCATTCTGATCATATTTGTTTACTCTTACGTTTATAATACTCTGACTCATCCCTAATTGAAAAAAGTTAACATTATTACCTATTCAATAAAAACAAAACATAGAAATCGGTATAGAAACACCAAACTTATACATGAAATAAATAAGCCTTCGCGCCGTCGCACGTGAATACTGAATCATGCTATAAGGATTATTTTTTTGGTAACGGTTGCCGCGCTCCACACGGGTCGCGGCGGCGGTAGGGTATCAAAAGGCGGGAGGTCCGAGAACGAGCTGTCTAAATGTCCCATGGGGGACAATCGCTTCCGATGAAGCCTTAGAGGCCTTCCCGGCCAGAGGCAGCCCCTACGGGTGTATTTTAGTCAGTACGAGTCTGACATAACCTTGCAGCCGGCTATAGGGTATCCATGAGGATTTCTCACCTGATCCCCCGCCTGGGAGGCAACAAAAAAAATAAAAAAAGAGAGCGAGCGAGCTTCAATATTTGGCTGTTGATGCGTTCAGAGCGTTCGACCTTATTGACAGACAATAATTGAGAATTGAGAAATATTGAGAAACCGTGCTTATCAGCGCGACTTTTAGTCTTTAAATAGTTTATTTGAATATCTTTTGTTGTTATTTTGTAAAATAGGTATTAGTTGTTTTGGTAATGTTTAAATATTCGTTCAAATTAAAAATTATTAAGCGTAGGTACTTTTATTAATTAAAGTAGTTGTAAGTATTTATTTTTAAGTGAAGTAGGTATAGGTAGATAGTATTGCACAGGCGTTTGGCTTTATTTTCATCTCTTTTTTGTTGTGATTTGTATATATTTCTGGTTATAATTCTATAAGAATATTTTAGTTTAAATAGTCACTTAGATTTTAAGTGTAAGGTAGCTAAAGTTAGGACCACGTATTAGTTGTTTTGGTAGTGTTTAAATATTCGTTCAAAGTGTAATTTAATCATATGGGATGAATGTACGATGGCCCATCGAAAAGGAGTAGAAACGGTAGACAGAACTTTAAGGGATATAAGACAAAATGATCGACCAATGGGCGGTATCACAGTTTTATTTTGTGGTGATTTCCGACAAACCTTACCGGTAATACCACGGGGAACCCGAGCTGATGAGGTTAGGGCTTGCCTGAAAAGCTCTTATTTGTGGCGTGATATACAATCGGTGCATTTGACTATAAACATGCGAGTGAGAACTGTAGATAACCCGGTTTTAATTTTCTGATATATTATTAAAGAAAATACCTTCACCAAAGATACCTATCCACTGCTACACCAAGGAAAACTTATTCTGACGCCTGAGTTATGTTGTATAGTGCAATCCCAATAACATCTTATATCGTCAGTTTACGGTGACGTAACAAATATATTAAATAAGGACAATTCTTGGCTATGCGAAAGGTCCATTTTAACTCCTCGCAATGACCAGGCATCTGAGATTTATAATAAAATACTGTCGAATATCCAGGGGGAAAGCAAAGTTTATAGTTCAATAAATAGAATAGCCGATGAACAAGAAGCCACTAATTACCCGATAGAATTTTTAAATTCTTTAAAATATGCCAGGACTTCCTTCTCATGAAATTTGTTTAAAAATTGGCATTCCGATTATTCTGCTCCGAAATTTAAGACCACCACAAATTTGCAATGGAACTCGGCTTAAAGTAACGCAGTTGCAACAAAATGTAATCGGGTCTTAAATTTTAACAGGTTGCGGTGCAGGAGAAACCATCTTTATTCCCAGAATTCCCATAATACCAAATAATTTTCCATTCCAATTTAAAAGAACGCAATTCCCAGTATCAGTGTGTTATGCAATGACAATAAATAAGACTCAAGGGCAGACTTTTCGTGTTGCTGGAGTAGATCTCGGTGTCAGTTGTTTTTCACATGGTCAGTTATGTCGCTCTTTCCCGGGTTAGCAGTCCTAGAATTTTTTATGTTCACGTGCCGGCTGGGTCAACTTTCAACGTAGTTTACCCGAAAGCTTTGCGCTGAAGTATTTTCATTCTATATGTACTTAAGCCTCATGTGAAAGCGATCCAAACAATATTACCAATACATTAACATAATAACATACAAGGAGTTACACGCTGATGGTCTCGGGGTACAGTGATAATAATAATATTCTGCGGTTCCTTATTGCGATATTTTCAACAGTATTGTGGATTGACATATTATATTTCCCTACTAAAATACGAAAGTTAATCTGTCTGTCACATCAAAACCACGGAACCCTGAGGAAGGACATATGCTACTTTTTTACGAAAAACGACGAAAACGCGGACGATGTCGCGGGCACAAGCTAGTAGCTAATAAAAGAGGTTATAGCCGTGACAAAAATTTTATAATAAGAAGAAAACCTGGAGCATTTTACCCTAGCTATACATTTACAGTCATCACAGATTTTTGTACAATATAATACACTAAATACGAACTAAACAGGTTTAGTTGTAAATACATCCATAGGTTGTACAGGTTTTTTGACACCTTTGAACTCTTCTTCTATCGCCTGGAGAGTCTTATCCTTTGTTTCAGGAAGGAAGACGTTTGCCATACCGAGACAGTATAATGATAAGGCAGCATACACCAAAAACATTCCAGTCAACTGTAAATTGTTGAGCAAAAATGGCACAGTCTTGATAGAAACGAAAATTGTCAAGGAGTACAATACAGCGCTGATTCCACCGGCCAAACTCTTGAACCGAAGCGGGAATAACTCTCCACTTAGAATCACAAGAAGAGGCATTCCTCCAATTGCTATAGGAAACATTTGGATATGCAGTAACGCTATACCAATGTAGATGCTATCAAAAGGCAATAAGTTGTGAGTCTTAAAGTAAACGTATGCAGCTGTCGTCATCATGGCCAACAGATTCAATCCGATGCTCAGATTCATTAAAGTCTTCCGCTTAATTTTCTTCACTATCGCCAATCCTATGGTAGTGGACACCGCTCGCTGGAAATCCAGAGAAATGAGTATCAACGCCGCATCTACACCTTTACCAATGACCAAGTCTATAAAATCCATGCCATAACTACAAAAAAAATTGATACCGCTCCACTGACCTAGTCCGCTTACATGAAACATTATAATAATAGGCAAGAAAAATTCTCTGTTTTTAACAATATCTTTGAAGTTCTGATACTCCTGCTTTAATTTTACCATAAAATTTGGTTGGCTAGATTTTAGACTAGATTGCTCTTCTAAAAATTTCCTCGCTTTCATGTTTGCATTTATCAGTTCGTCTAATTCTTTTTCTTCGTTGTCACCTCTGAGCCATCGAAATATTGTTTTGCATTTGTCGTATCTGCCCTGACTAGCTAACCAGCTGGGTGATTCTGGTGAACATAAGACTATGAGTAAAGTTACTGCGTTCAGGCAAGCACAGATGATGCTGACTGTTTTCCAAGTGAGGTAAGAACCCATAGCGTGGACGGCCAGGACTCCAACGGCGATAGAGACAGCTAAGGACATGAGAAAGGCGCCTCTGTTGGCAGGAGTGGTGTATTCTCCCACCACGACGGGGCCAAGGGTGGAGATCATTCCCATACCCACTCCATGGAGGCTGCGCGCAATAAGAAGCGTAGTGACGTTCGAAGCAAGTAAGATGCAACACCAGCCAACTCCGAGGATTACGATGCTGGCAATATTGGCTATCTTCCTGCCAAACTTGCCCATCAACACGGGTACAATTAAGTTTCCGCCAATGAGAGTAATGCCTGGTACAGCCGCTGTAAACAAAGAAGCATATTATTAACAAAGTCTGATCTCGATTGAATCGGTGATAACTAGTTTTAATTATACCAAAACAGAAGTCAAGCCAAACATATGTACATTTAGAGATAAGTTTTGTGTAACAACGTCACAATGTTATAAACTGATAATCACGGTCTTGATGATGATTTGAGTGCCCTTAGCAATGTTTTGAAAGTATCGTTAACTTATGTAGTAAAAAAAATTGTGTGTTTCAGCTCCGACGCACGACTGGAGTTTACTCCTTAAGTTCGATAGTCTAACCAGACGCAAAAAGAGTTTATATAACTTAAAAAAGATTGATACTGTATGAAAGGGTAAATTAACAAATTAATGAAAATAATATACATATATAAATATATATTTATTCATTTCATATACATTTATTATAACTAATCGACGAAATATTTTACATTAAACTTTTTACAATAGTCAATTTCAGATGTGCATAAATATATCATTAGGAATGTTAATAAATTATGAAATTATTATTATCAGACTATTATCATTTTTTTAAATATTAATTAAGTCAACATTGTCTGTATTATTAATTACAGTGATAAGTGGTTCATGGTAACTAAAATAAGACACATGGACGTTCGTAGATACGTGGATCACGAATCTTAAAAATACCGCATCAATGGTTGTACCATACCTCGTTGTCCCCATTGCTCTATCAGAAACAATATCTAAATTCAGTTCAGATTTTAAAAATTTTCTTAATGTCAATCCGTCATCTTTGTTTGTCAAAGTTGCGCGACATAGGATGCGCACCAAAAACGTAACGAGGTCATTCATCGATAGATTTCACTCCTCACATTTTTCTTATACCGGGCCCCTTATGCAAATCGATTTTTAAGGAGTAAACTCCAAAAAAATGGATAATAATATTAATAGTTTCAGCATATAACTTCAGGCTATCTGATGTTAAGTGGAGATGGAGTCCAGACGCAAACAAGCTATTGTAACAGATTCAAGTATACGGTTTTAAATCTAAAGAAAATATAACTAGAAAAAATTCCACGCGGACCAGGCAGCAGACGGGACTCGAACCCGCACCCTTCGCAATCCGGGCGAATGCACTGACCAATTATGCTACCGCGGCCCTCACGGACCGCGTCGAAATTCTTTCTAGCTATTCTTAAGCTGCAAGGCAGCGCCATCTCTTCGCATTATAGGTAAACCCACAATGTCAAATGAATACTTTTAGAAGTATTAAACATTTGAAAGAAGAAATAGCAATTATAGTTATAATTATTTATAATTTATAATTTTATAATTTTCTTTAGATTTAAACATCAAGCAGTTACATGCTTTAAAAAATAATAAAAATTATACGATTTTACTTCTAAATTATAAAGATCTTTTCTATAATACGTTACCTATCCAAGACCCATCTTCCTCGTCTATAGGGATGGGTGACCCTGACTCCCTGAGCTGTGGCAGCAGGGTGCTTGAGATGCCGAAGATCAGACCCATCTGGAGCATGTTCAGGCCAACACCTCCACACACCCAACACTGGAAAATAAATAATTATATATTTATGTTTTTTATTTATTTTTAAGCATTTAACTGCTAGATGTTTAAATCTAAAGAAAAGTTTACTACAAAAAAATCCACGCGGACCAGGCAGCGGACGGGAGTCACTGCGAAGAGATGGCGCTGCCTTGCAGCTTAAGGCTAGGAAAATTTCGACGCGGCCAATAGGGCCGTGGTAGCATAATGGTCAGTGCATTCGCCCGGATTGCGAAGGGTGCGGGTTCGAGTCCCGTCCGCTGCCTGGTCCGCGTGGAATTTTTTCTAGTTATATTTTCTTTAGATTTAAACATCAAGCAGTTACATGCTTTAAAAAAAAAGTATAACGATAAATCTGCTTAAATATTATTGAAATAATGAATGTTCAGATATTAATGGCAACCTCTAGAGTATCGATATTGTTGACATTTTAAGTTGTTCACAAGTATTTGGTCACCTTATTTGCTACAATATATCTGATGGTGACTGTACTACGATAATTATAACATCAGAGCATTTACTTAATAAATAAATTACTGGAAAATATAACAGAAGCCTAGGTAATGTCATACCTACACTCTTGCTCTAAAAGCAGATACAAGTAAATATTTTAATGATCCTCAGAAAAAATAGCAAAATAGTTAATTAAAACTTTGTCACCCAAAAGTTTAGGTTAGGTTAACAATTGTATTTTTGGATAGAAAAGATTATCATCATCATCAGCCTATTAATGTCCCCACTGATGGGGCACAGGCCTTCCCTATGGATGGAATAGGGAGTGCGGGCCATGACCCACCACGCGGACCCAGTGCGGGTTAGTGGGTGCTAACGACTGCAGATGCAGCCGGGACCAACGGCTTAACGTGCCTTCCGAAGCACGGAGGAGCTCGAGATAGTGATTTTTAGTCACCCATCCAATGACCGACCACTGCGAAAGTTGCTTAAGTTCAACGAACGCGCTAACCACTTGCGCCATCGAGCTCCTCGATATTTGACATTAATTGTACTTAGTTGACAATAATCTTTTTACTTTCTTGGAATGATATGACATTATTAATTGTTTATTAATTTGACATGATTTTTATTTTTATTTTTTATTATAATGTTAACTAAAAATTTTATAATGGGTAATTTGACTTAGTTCTGGGTTATTATTTCTTTTCTGTTTTATTTAATTTTGTTGAATTGGAATGAATGTTAATGTTTTTATGTATGTATTGCCGGCGTTTTGGATATTTCTGTAAGCCGGCATGTGTTACTGAATAAATAAATAAATAAGTTAAACTTTAGGTGACCTATAGAATTTTTTTATAATAATTTCAAATTTTTTTGACGATAATTTTCATATACTCCTATGTAAAACTTGAATTCCTGAGGTGCAGGCACAAACTTTAACAGATCCGTTATTCATTTTTGTCATCTTTAAATTCTGTATGACTTGGCTTTGCTTTGCTTTGTTCGTAAGTCCAGTAAGCTACTTAGTTCTCATTAAAAATTTTGTCAATGCGATATGTTCACGAAGCTATACAAGTTCGTGTTTGTGTCTCTAAGCGATCCACTTAAACTATCTAAAGACACTATAAGCCCTTCGTTCGTTAACTCTAAAGTCAAGCAATTTATTAAATTAAAATTCAACTAGCGGCCCACCCTCGCTTCGCTTCGGTGCAGAGCTGAAGTGTAGATTACAGTTTTTGTTCTCAGGCTTGTATTATACACAATGACATTCATCTATGATTCTTCTTATACCTGCATGCAAAGTCTCAAGCCCGAACGGTTTAAATTTGACAAAGTTTAATACAAACTATCATTCCCTATTTATCCCCTTGGGGGTAGAATTGATCAAAATCCTTTCTTAGCGGATGCCTACGTCATAACTTCTACCTGCATGCCAAATTTCAGCCCGATCCGTGCAGTGGTTTGGGCTGTGCGTTGATAGATCACTATGTCAGTCAGTCAGTCACCTTTCAGTTTTATATATACAGATTACATTACACGTAAAAACTTAGGACTTATCAATCAATTGGTCGAAGCAACCGCCCGGATAGCGGAGAGTGAGGGTTCGTGTCCCGTCTGATTTCTGGATCGTATCGATTTTTTTATGATAAAATTTTCTTTAGATTTAAACATCTAGCGGTTATTTTTTTTTCAATTTGACGACTCTGTAAATAATAAAACAGGGAGAAAAAAACAGCCCTTGCTGAGTTTCTTGCCGGTTCTTCTCAGTACAAGGTCTTCCGCCGGAGATTTACGAACCGATGGCGTAACTTCTAGACATTCATGAGTGCATGTAACAGCCTAAACTGAATAAATGATTTTGATTATGATAATGAAATATAATAAAACAGAGAGAAAAAAACAGCCCTTGCTGAGTTTCTTGCCAGTTCTTCTCAGTACAAGGTCTCCCGCCGTAGATTTACGAACCGATGGCGTAACTTCTAGACATTCATGAGTGCATGTAACAGCCTAAACTGAATAAATGATTTTGATTATGATTATGAAATGCTTAAAAAATAATTATAATAATCTAAGGACATAATTTATAACTAATATTAATCGTTAAGTACCTGTTTCGTGAACGGTGTAATCCATCGAGACACATTTTCGCCCATTTTTTAAATCGAAATTAAATAATCACAAATTCCCTCCATTACATGTGCCGCGTGCGTTCCTCAAACATATTCCGATTACACTGAACATTTAACTGTAATTTAACTAGCTAACCATTATGTATTCTCATGCGAACAAACATTGCAGATTTGATAACTCTTTTAAAAAGTAATCTTCGAACAATTATTATCTCACTAGCTGTGCCCCACGGTGTTACCCGCGGTTTATTAGGGATATTTTCCCGCAGTTAAACGTAGCCTATGTGTTAATTCAAGGTGTAAGCTAACTCCATACCAAATTTTATTAAAATCGCTCCAGCCGTTAAGACGTGAAGAAGTAACAAACATACACACTCACAAACTTTCGCCTTTATAATATTAGTGTGATAACAGATATGCAGACTACTATGTACCTTTTGTATTAAGTAGTTACAATCTGTCTGATACATTTAAATTTTTAAGACTCGGTAAATACAAGCCTCAACAAAGACAAATAACAAGATGTCACTCGACGTTCGAGTGTGCATCATGTAAAATTTTACGTGCATCACGTAAAATTTTACCTTTGCCCAGTAGAATTGTCTACGACTAGACTTTTTTTGGGTCCCTTAGTCGACGCGCAGGCCCAGACGCGGACCGTACTACGTCGCTGCGCACGGATCTTTCTACCCCGAAATGCTCCAAAGTAAAGCTGCGCCTTTACTGCTCTGCGAGCACTGCCTGGCGCCTCCGCGCCAGCGTGGATACCGCACCACCCAGCTGCAGGCTTGAGCGCGCCGCACGGCACCGCTCGGCCAAGATCGCGCAGACGTAAGCCACAACACGCATCAAAATGGACGACCAGAAACGGATGAGGATATAGCTTTCGATTGTACCCGCTACGGTGCAGTGACGTACGGGTGGAAATCGCCTCGCGTCCAATATGAATTGGACGCAGCGATGGCCGCCCGACTCATTGAATCCGGACTATTGTCCGAGAGTCTAGCGGAGTGGATCGCGAGCTATGTCCGCCTTCTGGAGTGGGATGAGTACTCAACCACCAACTACTGCCTCGGCGACAAGCCCGTTGCCGATGCCAACAAGGAAGGCATCAAGCTGCCGCTCACATTCCCGCTGCCACGCTCCCTCGTGCTGAAGCCCATACGCAACAGGAGGTCACTGAAACCGGAGGAGGCGCAATCCCGCGCCAGATGCCCGCAGCTGTGGCGACTCCCCGGTAACTCTCTTTACCCCCTTGCCAGCACCGGTGAAGACCCCTACGAAGGAGAAACGCCAGCCCAGGCAAGAAACCGCCCCCGCCGCCCATGAACAATCGCCGATTGTGCCACCGACTGTTTTACCGACACAGTCGCCAAAATTTTCCGCAGGCCGCGAAAATTTTCGCCCCTACCCTCATCGCAGCCGGAAAAAATACTCCCACCGCCGCCACCCACCGTCGTGCCAGCCGCACAACCGGCCTCCGGCAACGCTCCCACGTCTCAACGGGCATGCAGAAGCCCGCCGATTGCGGTCCAGCAGCTGCCGGACTGGCCGACGCATATACGCCTCCTCCACGACAAGCTCGGCCGATCACCAAGCGCGCGCCCGTTTGGCGCGGGTGACGAACGACAACGAGAGCCGCACCATCACGGACTACCTCTCCAACCTCAAGATGAGCGGGCTGAGTTGGTACTCGCACACCCGCCCCGAGGACCGCAGCCTAAAGGTGGCCATCCGTGGGCTGCCTTCGGACACCAAGCTGCACGACTTCGCCGAGGCCCTCGCAGAAAACGGCTTCGCTGCAATACACATCAAGCAGATCCGGGCGCGGGCAGGCCGCCCCGGATGCTTATACTACGCTGCACTCAGAAGGACAACCGACACCATCCCGGCCATCTATACGATGAGCGAACTCATGAGCATGACTGGAATCCACATTGAAGCCTGGAGAGGGAGGAAGACCCCCGCGCAGTGCCACCGCTGCCAGGGGTTCCGCCCCTCCAGCCAGGGATGTCACCGCCCGCTTGCCTGCGTGCGCTGCGGTGACCCACATGCCGCCGCCGACTGCCCCCGCCCGCTCGCGCAACTGCGCAGGCGCGCAACCGCCGCGCCACTACAGTGGCCCACACAGGCCGCCCGCCCACCGAGACAATCCAGCAGCCCACCGAGGTGAGCGAGCACGCGCCGGCCACGTTAATGGTCCCCGCGAACGCTCCTCCATCGCACACCAGCCGCTCCAAACGACGCAGCCGTAGACCCCGTCGAGCGAGCAATGCATCGCCGACGGACACGCCCCCCGCAGCCCCACCACCCAAAGAAGGCAACCGCTCAATACAAGACCAGCCACCGCCCGCCCAAGAAGAAGCGACAGCACGCCTGATGCAACAGCTCTCGGAATTGCTCACGGACTTTGTGAAAAAGTTTGGGCAGTCCGGAAAAACTTTTTCTGTACCGACCCCCGGATACGACACTACCCCTGCCCGCTGAAGTCCGTCGCCCGCTCGCTGGTCGCTCACTGGACCTCCCTCATGGGTTTTACCCGGTGGGCTTGACCGCGCCGAGGGCGACGTGTGAAGAAGCGGAGGCGGGGGTACAGCCCCAACGACCATCCCGTCCCAGAGACAAGATGCGAACCCGACACCTCTGAGGTGGGCCAACCGGTCCAGAGCAGACTCCCCGCACGTCGAAAGAGACGCCCAGACGCGATGAAGCGGTTTTTTCGCGGATAGTATGCCGTAAGCCTCGTAAGCCGCGCGGACTGCTTAACGGCTTCTCCGTTTCGCACCCGTGAAACTTGCGGGAGATGTGAGGTCCGTTCGTTGGTGTGCCCGTTGAGGGCGCCAACGTCTGTAAATAGAGGTTTTGTCTGCGTAATAAAATAAAATGGTCCCGAACCATATGTATTTCCGGATCATAATCCGAAATCACTTCAGTGGCAAACAAGCTGTTGTGTACTTGAACATCACTATAATTAAAAAAATGAAATGTCAAGAGACGTCAGAAAAACGTGATTCGTAAAAAACTGTATTGTAGTAGTAACTATCATATTAAATGTGATTTGCATTTATAACCGGAGTAATTATTACCTGTATATATAAAATTGGCGACGAGCTAATTGTAAATTGTAGAAAATGTTAGTCGGAAACATGGAAAAGTTTAACTCTGAAGAAGATGACTTTGTCAATTATAGTGAGCGCCTGGAACAATTTTATATTATTAATGAAATTGCAAAAGAGAAACGAGTACCCATGCTAATTACCTTAATTGGGCCGGAAACATATAGTGTTACGAATTGAAACTCCTTTATAAATTGACATTTATATCCCCATTTAAAAATATAATAAAAAAGACAGTCTTGTGTCAAATCTAGATTATGGTGGTTTTATTTTCTTTCTAAATTAATATTATTTAAAGTTCAACACATTCATTTTAAATAGTGACGACCGTGATAGTGAAAATGTTGAATTTGGAGGATACTAAAAAGGAGAGAGGAGCGTGGTAAGGCGCATTTTTACTAAATGTAGCAATGATTTAGAAGCCGCGATAGACCGTCAGGAAACAGATGTAGAGATTCATATTATTTACGAAAAATTTAAAGAAAAATATGAACATTTACTTCGTCTCGACAAAATAATATTAGATTTAATGTTGATTGAAGTTGACAAAGAAATGTTAGAAAAGGAATTGGAAGGTGTCATGGATTATAAGATCGGATGTTGAGATAAGAGGCAAAATATAAAAAATTGACTACTTCAACGACTTCCGTTTTCGAAAACATTACACCGAAAAATATGAAATTGCCACAATTGGAATTGCCGAAATTTAATGGTGATATACGCAATTGGCTTTCATTTTGGGGTCAATTTTCAATATTGATGGTATAGACAAATATCAGTATCTTCTACAATGTATGAAAGATGACACGGAAGTGAAAGACGTAGTAGCAAGTTTTCCTGTCACTGCTTATTTCGATTACATTAACTCAGCTCAAGTCTAGATATGGCCGAGACGGTTTGTTTGTGCAAATATACATTAGAGAAATTCTCGCACTCGTGCTATCAAGCAGAAAAGGTTCGCTCACGCAATTGTATGATAAACTGAATGCTCAGTTGCGTGCGTTAGAGACTTTAAAACTTACCAAGGATCGATACGCTGACTTCTCGCTGCCATTGGTAGAGTCTGCTCTTCCAAACGAAATCCTTAGATACAAACCTCAGGATAATGACGTAACAGATGAACTCAGCAACCTGCTTAATTTTGTAAGGAAGGAGGTGGAGGCAGAGCAATGGCCATCACAAAGAAGACTTTCTTCGGAAATAGCAGTCGTGAACGTGAGGATGTAGAGAGCAACCCCGCAACTGCAAAGTGTTTACTGACCAATACTAAGCAGAGATCTAGCGTATGCATCAAGTGTGACAAAGACTCTCATGCCAGTATCGAATGCTACAAGTTAAATAGAATGACTATTGAACAGCGGGAACAATACCTAAAAGAAAAGAGAGCTTGTCCAATTTGTCTGAGAGTAGGACATCACCCAAAACTTTGTAGAGCTGCGCTGAAATGTTTTGTATGTGCCAAGCAAGCGTCATTCTACTGTTTTATGTCCTGACATAAAAACTAAAGAAGATAAGATAATTGATGAACAGAGAACAGAAGAATCTACGTCATTGTCTACATTTAATGTTTCAAGAGAGACCTTTTTACAGACAATAATGATAGAGATTGAGTATGAAGACAGACAAATGCTGGTTAGGTCATTATGAGATTCTGGTTCCCAGCGCACGTATATAAAGAACGAGATTGTTGATAAGCTCGGCATTCCAATATCCGGGAAGGAACGTCTGACACAATGTTTGTTTGGTGGAGTGCAAATGAAGTCTAAAGAACTTCTGTATATAATTTTGTTATTAATTTGTTAGATAAGAAGTCTAGTTTTCGTTTGTCAGCTCTCGGTCAAAACAGCATATGTACCAATATACCAAAAATTTAAAATTTTAGCCAGTTATAATGACATCCATATTCCTAAGTTATTACGTAAGCATAATATCACATTAACAGATATGGATCATGATTGTCAAGATATTGGTTTACTAATTGGGGCAGATGTTCTTGGTCTCTTTTTAACAGGTTCAGTTATTCATTTGGAGGACAGTCTGATGGCTGTAAATACCAAGTTTGGATGGACATTGCAAGGGAACCAGGTAAGTTCATAAGAACTTTAAATAATTAAATAGTAATCTTACTGCGATAATGCTTGGACATGCGACAATGATTTGACAGGTTACTGGACGCTGGAGACATTAGGCATTCGAGGTCCAGTAGAAGAAAAAAGAGAGATTGAAAATGAAGCGGATACCTGATTAAATTGAGAATATCAAGAGGACAGGCGATAAGCGGTACGAAGTTAATTTACCTTTTAAACTTGAATATAATGATTTGCTTCCTAATTTCGACATAACCAAGAAGAGATTAGAAATAATGATGGTAAATAAATTAGTGAATGTAGGAAAATTCAAAGATTACGATAGTGTTTTCAAAACTTGGTTAGATTTGGGGATTATTGAGTTGGCTGATGTAGGTTCAGAGACTGGCCATTTTTTACCCCATAAACCTATTATTAAAGAACAGCGATTAACGACCATTGTAAGGCGGCCAGTGTTTGATGTTTCAGCCAAAGATAAAAATGTTTTTTTTTTTTTTATGCTAAATAGGCAATGCGTTTGACCACAATCTTACCTGATGGAAAGCGATGATGAGTCCTAGGATGGTACACGCCTGCCTAGAAGATGCCTGTTCACTCTGGCCTTGAAGATGTCCAGGTTATATTGGTCCGGGAAAACAGACCTCGGCAAGGAGTTCCACTCCCTAGCCGTTCGTATAATGAAGGCCGAAGCAAATCGCTTCGTGCGAATAGGAGGAACTTCGACAACATAAGGGTGGAAGCCCTCGCCGCGCCTGGTCGTCCGGTGGTGGAAAGGGGAAGGGGGGATCAAATTATGTAATACCTCCGCACACTCTCCGAAATGTAACCGATAAAACACCGAAAGGCAAGCTACACGTCTTCGGTGGTGGAGGCTCTGAAGATTAGCCTCAACGAGAGCGTCATTGCCTATGAGTCTCTTCGCACGGTGTTCCACCGAGTCCAGTGCATCCAGCTGATACCGAGCAGATCCGTCCCAAAGGTGACAACAGTACTCCAAGCAGGAGCGAACTTGGGCTCGGTAAAGGTTAAGGAGCTGCTCAGATGTAAAATATCGCCTGACCTTAGAAAGTATTCCAAGTTTTCTGGCAGCGGTTTTAGCAATGGACTCGATGTAGGGACCGAAATTGAGGCTGGATGAGATGTCCATACCCAAGAGCTCGAGATGGTCTTTAACCGGCACGGAGACATTTCGGAAAGTCGGAGTTAGATGGAATGGACTCCGTTTCGTCGAGAAGAGACAGGCCTGTGTTTTAGAGGGATTGAATCCAACCAAGTTGGCTTCATCCCAGAGGGAAACAGCTTCCAGGGTTGCATTCACTCCCTCCACCATCGCCTCCCTTAATGATCGGACATCTGCATCAGACTTCACATCAGGCAGATATCTCCCCGAAACTGTGCTGTCATCTGCATACCCAAAGATACCAGGAGTTAGGAGCAGATCATTGATGTGCAGCAAGAATAGAGTTGCGGAGAGGACAGATCCCTGGGGGACACCGGCATTAATACCAAGCAGATCCGACGATGTGCCATTAATGACCACTCGTATCGATCTGCCCCTCAGAAAATCTGCAATCCAGTTGCAAAGTCCGACAGCGATTCCATATGAAGGAAGCTTGCCAATGAGACTTGCATGCCAGACCCTGTCAAAAGCCTTAGAAATATCAAGAGAAACGGCGAGAGCTTCGCCGCGTTTCTCTATGGCTTCACTCCATAAGTGGGTAGCATACACAAGAAGATCCCCAGTAGATCGCCCACGGCGGAAACCGAATTGGCAGTCACTGAGGAGATCGTTATCTTCGAGGTAAGCGAGGAGACGGTTGTTCAATACACGCTCCATAATCTTACAGAGTATGGAGGTGATTGCAATAGGTCGATAGTTGGCAGGGTCGGCACGACTACCCTTTTTGGGCACTGGTTGGACATTGGCAAGCTTCCAGGTTTTCGGAACTTGGCCAATCTCAAGGGATAAGCGATATAGGCGAGTCAGAATAGGAGACAACTCAGGGGCACAATTCCGCAGGACAATAGCTGGAATGCCATCGAACTTCCAACATGGCAGAAGAACACTGAGGAAGCTTAGGTGGGTTAACGCCAGCAGCATCTAGCTGTGAGTTATTCGCAAATATAGAGGCAAACAAGTCAGCCTTCTCTTTGGAGGTGTGAGCCAGCGATCCGTCAGGTTTAATTAAAGGCGGCAGCGACGACCGGCAAAAATTGGCTTCGACTGTTTTGGCTAGGGACCAGAAAGCCTTGCTTCCGGATGGAAAGGAGGCTAATTTGGCTCCTATACGGCCAATGTGATCGAAGCGGGCCTTGCGGAGAACACCTTTACAGGACTTGGCGGCACTGTTAAAGGCCTTCTTCAGACTTCGAACATTTGGTGATTTGCGGGCTCGAGCATCCGCCCAGGAGCGATACGCAAAATGCTTAAGCGCCTCTGCTTTAGCACAGTCCGCGTCAAACCAAGGGCGGGCGCAAAACCGGCGTGGTACGTCAGAATATGGAATAAAGTACTCCATAGCCTGACGCACCACGTCAGCAATGGCATCCGCGCAGCAAGTCGGGTCGTCCGAAGAAAAGCAGGTGCGACGCCAAGGATAAGATGCAAAGAAATGCCGCATCTCATCCCAGTCTGCTGAACCATATCGCCAAACACGCCTAGTTCCGATAGGTTCCGGGTCGCTTGGAGAGTAGACTGATACGGACTTCACCAGACAGTGGTCGGAACTCCCTAGAGGAGACGAAATTACCACCTGGTAACGGTCCGGGTCTGTTGACAGCAGAAGGTCCAGGCAGTTTGGTGTGTGGCTATCAATATCGGGTACACGTGTAGCGCCCTTCACAAGCTGGGAGAGACCTAGCGACATAGCAAATGTGTGCGCTAATCTCCCGGCATGGTCGGTTTTCTGGAACGGGAACAACCACTCATGGTGGTGTGCGTTAAAGTCCCCCAGAACGACTAGCTGCGCACTCGGGTACCTTTGCTGGGCTGTTTCAGCGGAGGCGCTGAGGTACTGAAAAAACCTGGTTGTCTCCATGTTCTCTGTGTGCGACCGATAAACACTGGCATAGAGTATTTGCTCTATACCTGTGTTTAAATACCTGGGTAAAAAGTAAAAACCTGGGTCGGTCTTTAAATGTAAGGGCATGAATTTTATAGAGCTGATT